TGCACTTTGAACACCGGAATACGAGCTACAACTTTGTGGTGTTCTCTTGCTATCTGTCCCCGGAGGGATCTGTTAGAGGGAGAGACTGTGAAGGGTTTTTTGCCCACTTATTGACTCAAGTGTACAGTTTAGAGGTGGATGCGATTTACATCTGTGGCGACTTTAACTGTCGTATTGCTGATAAAGCGGACTGCATTGAGGGTTTGGACAACATTCCACCGAGAGTGGCGTTAGATCTAGTTTGTAATAGTCATGGTGACTCTTTTCTTGATTTTTTGAGAGATTCAAAGTGTTGTATTTTGAACGGCAGGCTTAATGTAAATGATGATAATTTCACCTCTGTTTCAGTTCAAGGCAAAGCCGTTGTAGATTATGTTGTGACGCCTCATACCTGTCTAGAATTTTGCGTTGATGTTAAAGTGATTACTGTCACAGACCTCCTTAACAAAAATGCAGTAGCATGTTTGCCTCTTATTGGAGATAGATGTCATTTACCAGATCACTCCTTAATTCAATTCATCTTTAAAGTGGATATCCAACTAACTAATGAAAATAATTCTTCCTGTGTACTTAAAAGGAGACTTGGACCATTCCCTGAGACATTTTTAACATCTACTAGCTGCCAAATGGCAGTGCAAGGGCTAGAACATAAGCTAGGGCTGTGCCACAATACTCAGGATAAATGGTATGAGGATTTTTGTACATTTATTAGAGGGGAAATAAACTCATGTAAAGATAGCATACCTACTAAAAAATATTCTAAACGGGGTGTGAAGCCTTTTTGGAATGTCCATCTTCAAAAGTTATGGAATGAGCGAATAATAGCAGAGAGAGGGTTTCTTAAGTGTAAAGTGCCACAAAATAAACTAGATATGAGGGAAAATTATAAGCAGAAGCAGTCACTTTTTGGTAAATATATAAGATTTTATAAAAGAAGGTTTAATAGGGGTCAAGCATTAAAACTTGAGCATTTACAAATAAGTAATTCACAACAATTTTGGAAAGAGAATAATAAATTGGGTCCATATAGAATCAAGACCATTCCTATGGAAGTTGTTATGGAAAATGGTGCAGTGGAGCTGAGAAAAGAGCGAGTGGTTAAAAAATGGGAACTGGATTTTTCAACCTTGACTAATATTGAAGATTTTGACCTTGCTTTTAGTGTTCTTTCAGTTCAAGTAAAGGGAAATCTTGAATTAATTATGGGTGATAACAGCCGATCAAATATTTATCTGAATTTTGATATTACTTTGGAAGAAGTGAGCGTTGCTCTCAATAAGGCCAAGTTGAGGAAGGCTATGGGAGTGGAGGAAATTCCAAATGAGGTGTTAAAGTCCTTAAATCTTAGGCATATGCTTCTTGGTTTATTTAAATTATGTTTTGACAACGGTATTGTTCCTTCTACATGGTATAAATCAATTATTAAACCTATTCCTAAATCAGTGAAAGATGACCCCCGCATACCTCTGAACTACAGAGGAATCAGTCTCCTAAGTACTGTTTATAAAATCTACTCTAGTATTTTAAATGCTAGATTAAGTAATTTTTTGGAAACAACAGAGCATCTAGTAGATGAACAAAATGGATTTCGAAAACACCGGGCATGTATTGATCATATTTATATAATCTCAACAATTGTCAGAACTAGGCTAACTGAAAACAAACCCACTTTTGTTTGTTTTGTGGACTTTAAAAAGGCTTTTGATTGGGTGGATAGGGATTTGTTAAGTTTGAAGCTTCTCCAGGCAGGGGTTGATGGGAAGTTTTACTGGGCATTAAAGTCCCTGTATGCAGACTGTGTGGGATGTGTTCAGGTGAATGATGAGCAGACTGAGTGGTTTCGTATTCCCTTTGGTGTAAAGCAGGGGGATATTTTGTCCCCAAGCCTATTCTCTCTGTTTATAAATGATTTGGCTCTTGAAATTAAACATCTAAACTTAGGGGTGCGCCTAGACAGTATCATTGTTGGCATTCTGCTCTATGCTGATGATGTTGCAATTGCATTACTGGCTGAAAATGCAGAGGATCTACAGAAAATGTTACATGTTTTACAAAACTGGTGCTGTAGATGGAGACTTGTTATAAGTCAAGCAAAAACGCAAATTATACATTTTAGGAAAGGTGTTACCTTGCGAAGCACAAAAGTTTTTACTTTTGGTAATACCGTTCTTGAGTATGTAACCTAGTATAAGTATTTAGGATTTGTATTTGATGAATTTATGTTGTTTGACAGAGGAGTTAAAATCCTAGCTGCTGCAGCCAGTAGAGCCCTGGGTTCTGTGATAAACAAGTTAAAAATCTGTAAAGATCTTTGTTATGGTACATTCTCTCAGTTGTATGCTGCCTGTGTGTCCCCTGTGTTAAACTACGCTGCTGGGGTGTGGGGGGCCGTGCAGAGCCCAGCCTTGAACGCTGTAGAAAATCGTGCAATTCGTTGCTTCTTGGGGGTTCATAAGTTTGTCCCAGTGCTGGCAGCGCTGGGTGATATGGGCTGGGTTCCTGGATCAGTCCAAAGGAAATGTGAAATGGTTAGGCTGTAGAATCGACTTGTTAATCTCTCAGAAAATAGAGTAACAAAAAAAGTTTTTCTGTGGAGTAAGAAAAAGTCCATCTGGGCTGCAGAGCTCCAGACTGTTTTTGCTGATGTACAACTCCAGTATGTATTCTGTAATAATTTGCCTTGTAGCGTCAATAACATCAGATCCAAATTGATGTCAAATTTTGAACATAAATGGCTGATTGGGATTATGGCTAAGCCAAAGCTAAGGACTTATTTGCAAATTAAAGATGTATATGAAACAGAGTTGTATGTAAAGGCAAATTTGACAAGGAACCAACGATCTTTTGGTGGCTCAGCTGCGAACTGGCATCCTTCCCCTGGCCTTAGAAACTGGTAGGTTCACTCAAACTCCTGAAGAGGACAGACTCTGTGTGAGTTAGGAGAGGTTGAAAATGAAACTCATTTTGTGTTATATTGCCCACGGTACGATAATTATAGAAATGTATTATTTGGTGAAGTGTTTGTTAAAAAGCCTGAAATGTTCTGGATTAGTGATGACGACAAGATGAAATGGTTGTTTAATTTTAATGTGTTTAAATTGGCTGCTTTTGTTTGCAAAGCCTGGATGAGACGGCAGACTTGTTTATTTAAATAAGTTCATGTATGTTGTGCCTACTGTCTGACAACTGGTCTTTTGCCCATTAGGGCTGGGCATACAGTAATATGCAAGACACAATAATAAAAAACTATTCATTCATTCATTCATTGTAACATAGAGCTCATGCTGCTCTAATTGACTTACTGCTGATATCAAGTGTTGTTTACATTTAAATGAGCCTCAACATTTTATGTCAGTCAAGCAGCTTGAGTTGATATTTGAGATCAACACAACTGTTTCTGAAGCCTTGATACCTGTTCACACATGCTACAAGCTCTTCACAACTCTTCACAAAATCTTACAATTTTATAAGATTCATCAAAGTTATTCCTGATTTATCTTTATGGAGCAGCGTCGCCCGAGAAGAACCAGGGCTCTCCCCACACACCTGAGGGGATTCTTGGTGGAGGACGTCTCTTCCAATCCGGACCCCTGTGAGCTTTCACAGCTGGCAGCTGTAATGTTAGTCAAGTTAGATCACACTTACAGCTGTATCTCTGCCAGAGCTCAAAGACCCACAGGTTTGGAGAAGCGCTACTTGAAAAACGCTGCTGTTCTTTCCGACATCCGTCCAGCAGTCTCAATCTCTTCAGTGGACGTGTATCAGCAGGAAGAGTCTGTCTCCATCCACGGCTATAGTGTACAAGCCTACCAAGACATGTGGCTATATATTCATTTACAAACAAGATTGCCTCGATCAGACTCAAAACACAGACTTTCAGTATTCACAATCACAACCAACGATGCTCCTTCACGGGCAGCACTTGAATGTTTTCTCTTGTGCTATAGTTCATATTATGATTTTAGAATAGATAAATTGTTTGGAGGCGGATTCTGTTATTTGCTGTGAGAGATGTGAACTAGCAGACAAAGGAAGAGAATCACCAGTAATATAAATACTTCTTTCTTTTTTATTATTAAAGTAAATGGCCTATAGGCTACTATTTATGTTATGCTTCTATTCCCTAAATAATGTAATACTAGGCTATTATTCATACTTATTTTTATTTGTAGTCTATCATGCACAAATAAAAACAATTAAAATATACAGTCAAATAAACACTGTATAAAAAAGTCACATGGGGGGGATTATTAACATTTTAAGAAGAACTCGAACTAGTTTTATAGCTTAGGCTACAATTTGTAACTTCTGCAACAGCTTGAAACTGCTGGTTCGTTTTGAGTCATGAACAATTCAGTTGTTAACAGGAGACTCGAAAAAAATAATCATTTTAAAAATAATTTTATTAAACCATACAGAAGAATCCTCCATCCCTATCGCGGAGTTTAGCCTACTAAAGCTAAACCTTTACATTTGTTTAGGTTGCTGAAACATAGGCCCTACCTTTGCAGAAGGATGTGAAATCTATATAAAGACTGTTTAACATAAAAATGGGTAGGTTTTTCTTTTTTTTCTGACAGCTGGCCATAATTCTTACAATGATAAACAATGCTGCCAACGATCCTTGAAAAGCACGTATGGGATATAGCCTATGACAGAAAATAAAATATTTCCAATCCCACGACCTATGATTTTATTAATACTTTATTTTTATTTTTTACTTTTATTTTACATTTAGAAATGTTAGCCTAATTTATAAGTCCACTCCATTTATGGTGCGGTCTGTTTTTATGACATTTGTTAATATAGTGTGCCTCGTACAATCCGTTAGGTATTTTGAGCCTGATAGGATGCGCTATCTTTGTTTAAACACCTTTATTAATATAGTAGTTCGTTTTGATAGGTACTTTCCACCTCTGTACTACACATGGCTCCAGTGGTGGGCGGGGCCTGTGACGTAAACAAACACAGGCATGTTCTAAACGGCGCAGCTCAGCTGATCGTGACGCACCGCATTCGCACTTTCGCAGCAAGAGGGCGAAGGACAGATATAGAAGTTGGGTATCGGTTACACGCTGAAGTAATGAAGCCCGGTGTGCCAACGGTAAATGGGTGATTCTGACGGAATTCCGTACTCAAGCGTACGTTAAAACAGCGTCAGTTCCTGTGATCAGCGTCTTGGGAGTCGGAACGGACTGTCGCTCCCGTGGCTTCACCCGAAATAGCTCAGTCCTGTTTACAGAAGCACGGCTTCTCCTGGCTGGACATACTTCTAAAAAAGGTACAAGTTATTCTAATATGGCGGCCTTAATGATTGCAGGATCTCTAAAATGCTGTATTTATGGAGTTGTGTGTGTGTGTGTGTGTGTGTGTGTGTGTCTGTGTCTGTGTCTGTGTGTCTGTGTCTGATGATCAGGCGTGTTTCAGCAGCAGCTGTCAGTGGCCATATGGCCCACACACACAAATCGCGTTTTAACTTTGGGCTTGAAATAACATCACATTGTGTCCGGTTTCCAGAGAGTTCCAGACATGGGCAGGCCAGACTCCAGGGGAATGCCAGTCTATATTCAGTCTATTAATCCAAATCCAGCAGTTTCTGATAAACTGTCATCTTCAGCAACAGTGCATTGATCTGTTGTCATTCTTAACACCATACCAGCAATAATAAAAAAAAGTAGTAGAAAACCTACCAAAAGTTCTGCCATTAAAGTGCTTAGTATTGTAAAGTTGTTCAAATAAACCCTTAACAATTGTGTGATACATTAAAATTATAGCTAAACCAATGTATTTACATAGCGGTGTCAAAAACACAGGGTATGACCAGCAGTGATCTATATAGATCAGTGGGTATATGACCCAAGTTGTTGTTATTGTATGTTTTGATGGCATGGCATTTGATTTGAATGATCACAGATGCCTAATTGTGTGAACATGACTGTAACTGACATCCAGGGTTTCAGAAACACTTCATGACACATTCTGGTGATTTATAATGAGGTCATTTATTACTGTTTGAGTAACAGGTGCACTACACCGAAGGCCGCAATGGTGGATTACTATGATGTTCTGGGAGTGTCACGAAATTCTTCTCCAGATGACATCAAGAAAGCGTAAGTTAAAACTGCCTTCACTTATCAGTAGCTTGCAGTATGGGATGGCCTTGGCATTGTTTGCTATTGTATGTTTCTAAATTTGTCTCTTAACCAGATGCAAGTGAAGATTCAAGTAATTTTGAGACAGTTTACCTATATAAAGTATCCATCAACCACAGTGCTTTGTCTACCATTCAAAAGTTTGGGGTTGGTAAGATTTTTTATGTTTTTGAAAAAAGTCTCTTATGCTAAGCAAGTCTGAATTTATTTGATCTAAAATTGTACTATTGTGTGAAATATTATAACAGTTTTAAGTATTTTTATTTAAATATATTTTAAAATATAATTTATTCCTGTGACGCAAAGCTGAATTTTCCGCATCATTAATCCAGTCTTCAGTGTCACATGATCCTTCAGAAATCATTCTAATATGATGATTTGCTGCTCAGTTGTGCTGTTTAATATTTCTTCTCAAGATTCTTTGGTGAATAGAGAGTAAAAACAAATCTTAATGATCCCAAACTTTTGAATGGTAGTTTGAATATATTACATCCATAAGAATATCATAAACATCTTAATGTCATGACATCTTATTCTGCCTGTTTGCTGTGGTCTGTTACTCCAACTATTTGAGATATGCTAATATATTTTGCAAAGCCACACTAACAGAATGACTAATGGATTTACAGTTTTTCTAGTTTTACATTAATGAAAGTGTCCGTTTTCTGATTTCCCTTCAAATGAAGGATGCTGATCAAGCTGATATGCCTGAATTTTAAAAAGGTCCATTCACACAGGACATTTTAAAAGATTTAAACTGTTTTTTAACTTACCTTAGTTCAACAAGATCACTGTGATATGTCAGTCTAGTGCATGTTTATACAAAAAAACTATTATAAATGCACATATGGACGCAATAACGTGTTGTATGCGCATGGCCTCTGAACCCTAGTTAACCCTAGTCAAGTTAACTTAACTGTTTATTTATGTGTGTGTATACAGTTACAGGAAACAGGCTCTGCGGTGGCATCCTGACAAAAATCCAGACAACAAGGAAGAGGCAGAGAAAAAATTCAAGGAGATAGCAGAGGCCTATGAAGTTCTTTCAGACAGTAGGACATTGGACATTTTAACTCTACAGCAATGTTATAAATGGTTAAATCACTTGTTAGGAAAGGGTTAGGTTACTTAGGGTGTTACATTTCACTGTTGTTTTTTCTCATTTCCAAGAAAGCAAACGAGATGCATACGACAGATACGGTAGATCGGACATGCCAAGCTCAGGTGAGGAGAACTTTACACTGCTTGATACTCTCTTATTGTTACATGTGCTTATGTGAGCTCTTTCTGTTTTATAGACTCTGGTGGTTCTTCATTTCCTGATGACTTCCCAGGATTCTCCTTCACATTCCGCAGCCCAGATGAGGTGTTTCGAGAGTTCTTCGGAGGGCAGGACCCATTCGCTGACTTCTTTGGTGGGTTCTCAGGGAGTTAAGGCCCGTTCACACCAAGGACTATAATGATAAAGATACAGTTCTAAAAATAGTTTTGAAGTGTAAAAGGATAGCAGAGTCCACACAACAACTAGCCTATAACAGTAATGGCACAGAGAAACAATAACGTTTGGAATCACTTTCAGAATAAATTTGTCCTGCTGCTGAATGATAAAAACATTGACAATCAGAATCCATCCTGCTTTAAAGAGCTCAAGCATTTAAAGCAGACGACGACAAAACTGCAGCGCGGCGCACTTAAAAGAAACAGAACAATACCGCCCGATGGTGTGGATGCTAAAATAGTTATAGTTCTTGGTGTAAACTGCTGATCTTGAATTTTGCTTTGATACCAGTAAAGGTGTTTTATCTCTGTCAGAATTTCCCTTATAGTAGTGGTTCTCAGCCAGGGGCCCACTAGGGGGTCTCAGCAAACTTGCTGAGAAATGTTGTAAAATTAGTTATATTAAAGGGATAGTTCATCCCAAAAAATGAAAATTCTGTCATTATTTACTCCCCTTTCAAGTTGTTCCAAACCTTTATGAATTTATTTCTTCTGCTGAACACAAAGTAAGTTATTTTAAGAGAAAGTCGCTAACCAAACAGTTGTTGGGCCCCATTGACTTCCATAGTATGGACAAAAATACTATGGAAGTCAATGGGGTTCATCAGCTGTTTGGTTACCGACATTCTTCAAAATATCTTACTTTGTGTTCAGCAGAAGAAATAAATTCATACAGGTTTGAACTATCCCTTTAATGATGAAATCTAAAAATAAAGATGTACAACATTAAACTGACATCATACTTTTGAGTCTATTTGTATTAATAACAGTAGATGCAGAGTACTGGAGTTATATATCAGCTTATATAAGAGGACCCTCGAATAAAGTATCAGACAAAGGGCTCTCTGAGTCAAAAAGGTTGAGAACCACTGCCTCACAGACTCATCGTATTCTCCCTGACCTTACCCTCCTAAGCCCTCTCGCATTTTTCTACACTTTCCCGCTAGATGATTTCCCGTTTGGTGGAATGCACAGTGGGTTTCACAGCTCCTCCTCCAGGCTTGGGCCCAGTCGCTTCTTCTCCTTCCCCTCAGCAAATGGTTGGTTTTTAAATATGCTTTGTGCTCTTTTTGTGTATTTGTGGTCAGGCTCCAAGATGAATACTTAATTTAGGTAAACTTTGCTGCATATGTATTGATAACATTGATAACAATTTGGTGAAAAACTATTCTTTTGTAGATTTGGACCATGGCAAATAAATGAGTTGATAGTCACTTTATGAGAATTTTTTTCAAATCCTTAAGAGCTGAATTATTATTTTTTATCAACAGCTGACTTTACCTCCTTCTCCTCTTCCATGGGTGGGATGGGCAGCATGGGAGGGGCAAACTTCAAGTCTGTTTCTACTTCCACCCGTATTGTCAATGGAAAACGTGTCTCCACAAAAAAGTCAGTTTGCTTCTCTTTAAACTGATTTTGTCTGCTGTTCTCCTTGTTCCATATGTGGTACAATTTAACAATGCAACCTACTGTTTTTATTTGAAATCAGTGATGTATGACAGTGCATCTGGCAGATTAAACAAAAAAGACAGTTTTTGCCTAAATGAGTAATTAAAATGCAATTGGTGTAGAATAGTAAAAGATGGTTTATATTTAATGCCATAATGTGAAGGTCTGATTTACAGAAAGTCACAGGAATTTAATTTTGTTTACATATTTCCCTTTTCTTTTCTTTATAAACATTACATTTCTTCCCTCAGGGTCAGAGAAAATGGCCAGGAGAGAACAGAGGTTGAGGAGGATGGGGTTCTGAAAACTGTCCTCATCAATGGTAATTCTTTTTTTGCTATTGTTTAATAGTAATATTGGGCTGAGCCAAAAGGCAATCTCTATACTTAATGTCCATGTAAAAAATCACCTTGCAGACTCAGGATAAAACTCAGGACTGTAGATGTGGAAAGTAGATGTGTTTGCAGTCCTAATACACATACTCTACCATTAAAACATTTGGGGTCAATATGATTTTTTGTAAAGAAATTAATACTTTTATTTACCTAGGATTAATTGGTCAAAAGTAACAGTAAAGACAGATTTCTATTTCAAATAAATGTTCTTTTTAACTTTCTATCAATCAGAGAATCATGAAGAAATGTATCATGTTTCCACAAAAATATTAAGCAGCACAACTGTTTTAAACATTGATAATAATCAGAAATGTTTCTTGCACAGCAAATCAGCATGTTAGAATGATTTCTGAAGGATCATGTGACACTGAAGACTGGAGTAATGATGCTGGAAATTCAGCTTTGCCATCACAGGAATAAATTACATAAATATATTCAAATAGAAAATAGTTATTTTAATTTGATCAGATATTTCACAATATTACTGTTTTTATGGTAGTTTTGATCAAATAAATGCAGCCTTGGTAAATATGAGACTTTTTAATGTTCAAAAACATAAATTAAAGAAAATCTTACAGACCTCAAACATTTGAATATTAGTACATGTGCAAGTCATAACCATTTGGCCTAGTTATAAATGTGGATATATTATAATATAAAATTGTTCTTAGCTCAACAATCTTGCGTTCTGGTGCTTAAACATCATTTTCAGTACGTCTTTATCCTTTATCCTAATTTAATTTCATTTAAAACTTTAATAGAGTCACATTACTTTATTGGAGTCAGATAAATAATTAAACAATAATACCACATATTCCTTCAGCTGTTTATTTTCACAAATATTGGCTCAAAACCTCAGCTTAGGCTTGCAGGTAGATTTAGCAAACTCATTACATTTTACGCCAGCTTCTTGTATTTCCATATATGCAAATTCCTAATTTCCGTGTTGAGGAGTTGCTGTAGAAGTGATCTGACATTGAGCTGTGTTTATGTGTCTAGGTGTTGAGGATGAGATGGCTTTAGCTCTGGAACTGAGTCGTAGAGAGCAGTCCAGTCAGCCTCCCAGACAATCCCAACAGCCACTGCTCCACCCCCCCAACAACAGCTCCCCAAACCCCGCCTTACGATCCTTCAGCGCCGCCCCGTTCTACCACTGCCCCGATGCCAGTGAAGACGAGGACGAAGACCTCCAGATGGCGCTGGCCTACAGCTTGTCGGAGATGGAGGCCCAGCAGCGGGGAGAGGACGTGATCTCAGGTGCTGGGGGAGGGAGGGGGAGGGAGCCAGGTGATGGGAATGGGAAGGGAGCCGTTCAAAAAAACAAATACGAGAGAGAAGTGACGGATGATTCAGACCAAAGCACCCCCTCATCTCCAGAAGACAGACTTACAGAACAGGGTCTAGATACGGGTTCAGAAAGTTTGCATCCAGAGAGTGTTAGAGAGGATAAAGAGAATGATAAAATGGCGGCCAATGGGAATAATGTGGTAAAGAAGAAAAGGAAGTGTCAGTGTGTGGTCTGTTAGTAAGACTGTGGAGAATTATCATGCTTGTGTGTGAAATCAGCAGTGTTAACCTTACGTTCTCTCTATGTTTTTTTTTTTTTTTTTTAATCCTCAAGTTTTGGATTGTGCTTTAACAGTTTTGTCTCTTGTGGCAGGGCTGATGGCATTGCACAAAAATGACAGTGTTGAATTTGTATTTTCTTGCCTCAAGGAATGAATAACAGGTGCCAAAATGTGTTTATACTACACAAAGACAGGACACTTTACAGTAGGAAGTTTGAAGGTACTGTATGCAGTATTTTAGAATGTCACTCATATCTGACAGATATCACAGAAATGGGTGTCTTGGGATATCATTTGCCAGCCTTGACTGTGTAAACTGTTAAAACAGTCAAGTGGCTTTCTTAGTCGATCAGAAACACACTCTGCCTGTGAATCTTTTGGATTGCTGGCATCAGGTGGACTGACATGTCTTTGAAGGGTGTGTTTTGGGGATATTGGAGAGCCGGCATATGGATAGCAAACGTTAGCATAATGGCTAACCAGCATAATCCAGTATTCGACATGACGTTTTAGTGTATTTTGAGTATTGCAGAGCATTTTAATAGATATCTTGCTGATTAGTTGGCATCCCATTCCCAATGAACGCTCCATTTATTCTTCCAGCAGTGAAGTGCTCTATTTCATCATTGTTTGCTATTGTTCCTTCTAGAAAGGAGAATCTCTGACTCTAGTCTGGGTGCTTTGTGATTTTTACGGTGCATTTGTCATTCCTTCAGAGGTACCTGTTGAATGTGAAGGGGACTTTTTTGTAGATGGGGAAATTTTGCACAAAGACTTAAAGATAATCTGCTTCCGAGGGCTAATTTTTAGGGATTAGCACTCCTATTACCTAATGCGTTACAGACAGACATGTAAGGGAATGTAGATCCAAAATGATCTAATTTTATAAGAATGTGCCAAATAACTGACTGACAATGTCTCTCATTAGTTTTATACGCATCAGAATTATTCAGTATTGATATTTTGTTTGTGCCTTTTATTTTGCTAGGATTCAAATGATTGGCTATTGTTGCCATTGCTATATTTCACATGCCTGTTTGTGTACAAGTTAGCCAGAGCACATTATACTTTTTTTTTTTTACTTGCTTGTGCGGTTTGTTTTATAACTATAAGCTTTGTGATATAAAATGAACAAAACATCAATAAATGAACACTAAAAAAAGCACAAAATGTGATGCTATGTGAATATTAATGAACATATTTTTGTCTACAAAGTCATTCACACAATAACTACTTTTCACATTTGAAAATGTTATGCGAGACAACATTGTTATCTCAGAACAGAAGTATCCTAATTCATATTCAGCACTCGGTCATTGTTAACATGATGTTGTTGGTAATATGAAGAACAATAAACTGTATTAAACCAGCTCTGCTCATAAGAATTCATTTTTACATTTACACAAAAAGTATTTTTGATGGACTGCTCATTTCTCCAGTTTACCTGATATAAATGGACAGCAGCCCTTTATTAACTCTTTACTTTTTACAGCTGAAAGGCCGTACATTACTATATTAGGTTGAATACATTTTATTTTTCTTAGTGATACACTGTTCACAAAAAAGCATGTAATTCAGTGTGACTCTTGTCATTACCGGCACATTCATCATTCCTATTAATGGGTTGCATTTGTAAACCTCATTTGCATTTACTATGTTAATGATTTTGTTTTTACCTGGGCTTTTTACCTGACTCATTCTCCCTGCCGTTACAGAGTCCGACTTCCAGGCCTTCACAGGCTGACCTGTGGCGCTGTGACCCCCTCTTACCCCCAGAGGTAAAACGTAGTGTTGTAGACTTCTCTGTACATGACTGAGAACTAAAGCATAGTTTTTAGATCTTCTCCCCACTCATAGTTAATGAACATGCATTTGTGTAATTACCTGAGAGTTTGCTGCTCCTGCTGCAGATCAAGCAGGAAAATATTGAATTTGTGCATAGAAACTTGAGTACACTCAAAATGGCAAACAATCCTGTTTTATTAGTCTCAGTTTCATTAGTCTGTGTAGTTTTAATTGACCAAACACAACACAGAAGATTGTGAGGCAACACTAATACTGAATTCATCCGTCTGCTCTTAACAGGTGAAGCATTTCCCCGATGCTCTGCTCTGCTCTCTCTCTCTTTCTTTCTGCCTGGCTCACCTGCTGCTCAGACCCTTTTCAAAGTTTTATTTGGAAAAAAAAAATCCCAGGCAACACTACATAAAGGTCAATAATGTACGTGCTAAGTATGTATGTGTGTTAATGTGAGCCTTGGAGAGGGAGTACTGGATTACTTTTTATATATAAATTATATTTATGGCCTGCACTGATGAAATATGTGAGCTCGTGTACAAATTAAAGTGTCTTGAGGACAAAATTATTCTTTCACATTTTTAATAATGAATGATTCAAACCTGCAATGAATGTATAGTTGCACTTGAAATGCTATATTTGAGAATTTAAAATCTTCATAACTAATGAAAGGTTTATTATTTATTCTGAAAGGTTTCTTGTGTATTAATTAAAATATCTGCATTTCATAACCCATTATTCTGTAGTTTTTTTATACGCTACTGTTCAAACGGTTGGGATCGGTACGATTTTTCAAATGTTTTTGAATGAAGACTCTTCTGCTCACCAAGGCTGTATTTATTTGATCAAAAATACAGTAAAAACAGCAATGTTATGAAATATTACAATTTAAAATAACTTAATATATTTCAAATGTCATTTATTCATGTGATGGCAAAGCTGAATTGTCAAAGTCAATGCTCTTCAGAAATCATTCTATGTTGATTTGATTCTCAAGAGACATATATTATTATTATTATTATTGAAAACAGCTGTGTGTTTTTGTGGACACAGTGATACATTTTTTTCTTCGATGAATAGAAAGTTAAAAAGAATAGACATTTTAAATGTCTTATAAAAAAATCAGACATACAAGAATACACATTTCTTTGTGTGTGTGCGATTTAAAGGTGAAATGTGTAATTTCGGTGCCAAAATAATAACTAGGTTTGTATATATGACTTCGGTTTGGTCTTAACTACACAGTCTACAGGAAAAGCATCTTTCTACATTCAAAGCCATATATATTTTGTTAATAAATTGCAGAGTTCAGTCTGCGTGATCATAATGAAAGAATAAGCCACACACATCAAGCAGTGCTGCTACACAGATTCACATTTAATTCAGAACCATTTAAAAATTATAATCATATATTTCTCTGTTTTTTTGATAATTTTCTAATTATTTGCTACAGGAATAGACAAACCGAGCTCTCCATGAATTATTCACAGTGATCATCACACGACATAAAGGCTGCACTAGACATTAAGGATGTGAAAGCACTGAATGTTTGTGAGAGATTTGACAGGAACCGTAAGATATCACAGGTGCCTTTCAGGTACATTCCACTGAAACAAACCACTCTTGGGTTCAGACGTGAGTCATGACTGTGCATATATGTTCTCATGTTTGACTGCATGAGACATGGTGGGTTCTTCTGTCATTTTTGGCCATACCATGATCAAGAAAGCATTTTAAGAACAACAAAATGTAAAGATTCCGCATTTTCAACATCAAACATTATATGTATATATATATTTATAAAAAAAGACATTATACTGTCAATGTTCATAAATTAGGTCACTTTAAATCACTGTGTTATGCTTGTGTGGAACGTAGATGTCTCTTAAAACCACTGTTTCTCCCTGAAACTCAATTAGGACTGATTTGGCCCCTTTAAATAATGTTTCCAGCATACAGAAAGCGTTCATAGTCTTTTATAGTGTGACAATATTAATTTTCCGACTTTTGAAAGTGAGTGAGGTGCATGAAAAGAGGTGAGTACAAGTCGAAAGGATGTGATAGGGACACAGTGGGAAGTGGCTCACTGAGGAAGGGCTTTCAGAATGGCATTGACCTCTTCTGCCACAGCTGTCAGGGCGAACTCAAACTGGTCCTGAAGAAACAGTCAAGCTTAGTGCGTAAATACACAATAACACAAGAAAGCTTGTTTCTGCCATAGAGTAAAAAATAAAAAAGGTAATTGCGAGTTTATATCTTGAAATTCTGACTTCATTTCTTGCCATTCCAAATTTCTAAACTCTTAGATATAAACTCAGAATTGCGAGATATAAAATAAGATATAGAATTGTGAGAAATATAGTTAGAATTGCAGGAATAGCAAGAAAAGGTCAGAATTACAAGATGTAAACTCGCAGTTGTGAGAAAAAAAGTTATATATCTCACAATTCTAACTTTATTTCTTGCAATTCCGAGTTTATAAACTCGCAATTCTGAATTTTCTTTTAGGAATTGCGATTTTTAGATATAAACTCGGAAATGCGAGCTTGCCAGAGAAAGTCAGAATTGCAAGTTCATAACCTCAGAATTGCAAGAAACAAAGAATTTCAAGATATAAACTCAATATTACAAGAACAAGTCTGAATTGTGAGATAAACTCGCAGTTGCTAGAAAAAAAAGCCTGAATTATGAGATAAAAAGTCGCAATTACCTTTTTTGTCAATTGCGTCGCTGAAACAAGCTTAACATTCACAATCACATGCTGAAATCATCAAAAAGCATTTTTTACATACCTTAGTGCGTACCATACTTGGTCTCTGGTCACGAATATGCTCCAATGTGGCGGCAATGTCAATCTCCTTCACACCTAAAACAGACAAACAACCTGTGAGCATGGCGTACAAGGCGCACAAATAAAACGGCTATAGAGTAATAAGGCTCGTACCTTTCGCCATGCGGTTAAGTACCATGTCAATAAGAATGTAGGTGCCGGTTCTACCAGTACCATTGCTGTTTGAAACAGGAAACCATTTTAATTTAAATCATTCATATTCCATGAAAGAAATTCATAGCCCATATTGTGAGCCTGAGACACAAATTGTAGCCGTTTACCTGCAGTGCACAATGATTGGGCATGAGCGTCCTCTGTAGCACTTGTTTACTTTTCTGAGGGAAAAAAAGGGAAAAAAAGATGCACAATGCAAGAATAGAAAGGTTGCTGGGGAAGAAGGGAGAAAGCATGTCATAATGAGCATAACTGTCAATTTGTCAAACCCTACGATTCATTATTCTGGCGACAAAGAGGAATTGAAGGATGCATGATGCTGGGGAAGGAAGGGGGAGAGAGGAGATGGAGCCTCACTCCTGCTGCACTCACACCTACCAATGATCATTTTTGTGACTATGCAACTGGACCCAGACTACTAGCTGCAAATCACAAAAATGACACTGGGAGGTGTGCTACGTCCAGGGACCTACCGATCTCCATCAGAGACAGAGAGAGTGACGGAAGGAGGAGAGAAAGACGGGGGTGACGCGGGGCCCGTGGCAGGATGTCGAGCACAAACGGAGAAGGTCCGAAGTGCAAATGCATTCAAGGGAGAGGAACTCATTCAAGGGGGGGGGGGGGGGGGGGGTTGGGGGGGGACTGGGCTTCAAGGTAAAGAAAACATCCACAGGTAATTAGAGAATCCCAAGTGTGAAGCAGATCCTCATATTAGGATGAGGAAAAACAGTAGGGGAAGTATTTGCAGTGAGACAGATGTGGATGAAAAACTTGTGTGCGTGTGTTTTAGTCTAATGTAAAGTGAGTTTATTTGATGTGATTAATACAGTTTCTGGAACACACTTGACCTCACACTATCAACAAGAATTTCTTTTTTTAACTATTTATACTATTGAATATTATATTTACTCATTACGTTTATGCATTAACAATAGGGTTTAATCGGATAACATTAGTTTACATTAATGAACATGAAATAATAATAGACACTTCTAAAGCATTTATTAGTCTTAGTTAATGTTAATTAAAACATTTACTAATACATTAATACAATCAAATGGTTTATCTGTTAATATTCTTAAATAGACCTAAGATAACATGAACTAACAATGAACAGTTGATTTTTATTTAACATTAATAAAGATGAATACATACTTAAGCAAATGTATTGCTCAATGTTTGTTAATGTATAATATAATGGGATCTTATTCTAAAGTGTTACAATGTACATTTATTTGTTACTAGATGTTTTTTGGCTATTGTTATTAGTAGTCAACAAATCTTCAGTAAAAATGGTCACAGGCACAAAGGCCTTTCATTTAACCGAGTGCTCTCTAAATCATTTCTTATTTTCAATTCGGATGTGACCTAGTGGAGATGTTGTTCACTCCGTAATTATTTCCATCATTTATCAATTTTAAGACCGGTTGCATACTTGATGTCATGCGAATTTCTCATTTTGTTCTCTATGAGAACATATTAAGCTCAAGGGAGGCGAAAAGTACGCTGCCTCCTTCCGTCCGAACCTTATTACACTGATGTTGCTATTGGACAGTATTACTTGGAAAATAATTTCCACACTATTATCTTTTGTAATATCTTTGAGGAGCTACTACCTCCCTTGAGAAAACACCTGATGTGTGTGTGATCTGTTTGTAGTCCTATCACAATATGAGCTCATTTATTATCAGCAGGAAGGGGTTCGGTTTCGGCAGTACCTGCGGAAGTCCAGCAGGGGGCGTGTGGAGGTGGGAATGCCTTGGGCAGGCCAGCTCAGCAAGTGAAACTGGGTCAGAGTGCGGGTCTCTTGAGTCTGGACGTTCTTCAGGTAGAAACTACGAACCAAGAAGTCTTTACACCAGATGTGTTCAGACACAAGATTCACCTGAGACGTACAGGGGGGAAAAAAATGGATAGTAGCCTACATACTAAAAGCATAAGGTTCATAAAGGAAGTGAATCTTAATGTTTCTCACCTCATAGATGTTGTATAAAGACGATCCTTCATCAGGCCAGTAACGTTCACATTGTTTTTCTCCATCCTCCACTAAAGCGGTCATCATCACTATTACAGTACAGCCATTTTCCCATACCATCTAACACATGCACCAAAACAGTGTCAGCACACAAATAATCATTTATATAGGAAATGCATTGTAATACCATGTTTCTATTATTTAATTTACGGCCATTTGGTCATTTAGATTTGTGATCATCCTTTACCTTATAATCATATATATATATTTTTTATATTTAAAACTATTCCAATATTTGTTCTATCTAAATCTTAAAATGTCATCATTACTCTCAACATGTGTAACTTACCTGCCAGAAATCAGCAATAGTGTGTGGTAAAGGTCCTTGAGTTGCGATATAAGCAGGTAAACGTGGATCATGATCAATCTATGGGTAAAGATAGAAAAATGTGACATGATCACATTTACCTTTTTTTATAGAGATAATGTGTTTTTCTACCAGTATTTACGTATCCAGTATATATACAGTATATGTATACTTCTTTAGTGGAATAAAAATCGTTGTTTCTTACTATAGTGCTGGCATTTATGTAGTCCTCTTTGGAGGGGTTGACCTCTGCCTTTAGTTTCACTCTCGAATGGTCATCTAAAACAGAGTTTTTTTTTTAACCATACTGAATGTTGAAAAAAATAAAAACTCATTTTGGTAAACCTTTATTTGTATTTTCCAGTTATATGATCTGATGCCTTTCCTAC